GTTTTAAGATGCAAAATGAGACAAATATGAAAACAAATGGGATGCGGATTATGACGGGAAAAAAAAAAGAAAAATAAACATAGAAAAAGGGATAGATAATATGGAATCAAGCTGCTGGACGTGTGTCTCTCTCAGCCTGATCAGAAGATGATTGAAGTGGATCGAGATGGAGCAAAGCTTGTTGGATGTGTATCATTCTCAAGCTTGGCAAACGAATGGGATGGAATGATGGGTGGATTAAGGACACCAAAAATATCTATGAAATGGATCTGTGATAAGTCAAGATGCTCTAGAGCTGCTTCACACACACTCAAAAGACTTAGATTAATAGTTTTGACAAAACTAGAAAAACTGAATAATTTTTATTAATTACAAGATGGGTTCTTTTACAATGAAGAAACAACTTAAGATTTATAGGCTCGACTACTAGGACTCTCTAACATTCATAAAATGACATAAGGAAAGAAATAAATTCGAAATAAAATGTTTGGAAGCAAAGGCGTTGATGGCTGCATAGAATATTGTCTTTAACTTGATTTATGCCTTCTTCCAAAAGAATAAATGGAGACTTGTATCTTGATAGCTTCTGGGTGTGGCCAGAGCCGGCCCTTGGCACAAGCTAAGGAAGCAGTGGCTTGTGGCCTTATTATTATAAAGAAATATTCGGCTACATTTTTACCATACTCTCCTTTAGCGTAGTGGTAAAATTTCAAGGGAACAAACTTCCTTTGCACAACCTGGGTTCGAGTCTTGATAAGCGCAGCCTTTTTAAAAAAATTTGCTTCTGGTCTTAAATTTCTTAGGACCGGCACTGGGTGTGGCCATGATCTTCAAGCCTTCCAGAAATAATCTTTGGTCTTAACAAATAGAATATAACCGTTGGTCTTGGGAAAAAATCTGTAGAATCTCATTTAAAGCATTTTGTGTAAATGCTGTAAAATAAGGAAGGTTGAGGGAGAGAGAGATCCGCCTGATCTCATGGGTGCTGGTGCACTTAAGGACGTCTTGTATGTCTTATGAATGGTCTAGAATATCTCCTGGATTCCATAGAAAGGTTTTATTCGAGCCAAATCGAATTGGTTGAAGGCTTTCCCAAATTGATGTCGGTTTGACCAGTTTGGGAAAAATGAGCAAACCAAGTAGGTCTCCCGGTTAGATTGGATTTCGAGCTTGATTCTTTTTGATCTGGACTCCTAAAACACTCTCCTTAACATAAAAATAGCTTCAGTCTAGGCATCTTCATGGTTGAACTTGTATGGACCGAAGTATTGCTGAACTGGCCCCATTGGATGTTGAGCAGATGGACTGTCTTGTAAAATCCATAACTTTTAATTTCCGTGTCCATTTCTCCTCTTCTTGAGCTCTTTGGAAATCTGGTAAACTCCTATTTATTTCTAAAATTTGTTTTGGCTCAGATCGATTCTTCATTGGGCTTGAATCTTCATCTAAGGACTGGTACTTGCAGATGGACGGGCTGGAGAATCTCCGGTTTGTAAAATTTATATCTTCTTTCTCCGTGAAGTTTTTCTTAAACTTCCAAGCCTCAGTAATTCCTGGATGAATTAGCCGTCTTGTAAAATTGGTTTCATAATCTCCTTAACATAACAAATGGTTTCAGTCGAGTTCTTCTCATGGTTGGACTTGTATGGACCGAAATATGGCTGAACTGTCCCATTGGATGTTGAGCAGATGGGCTGACTTGTAAAATTCATAACTCCTAATTTATGTGCCCATTTCTTTTCTTCATGGGCTCTTTGGAAATCTTATAAACTCCTCTTGACTTCTAACATTTTTTTTGGCACGGATCGCCTCTTCATTGGGTTTGAATCTTCTTCGAAAGGCTGGTACTCGCAGATGGACGGGCTGGGGAACCTCCGGTTTGTAAAATTATATCTTCTTCTTCCGTGAATATTTTCTTGAACTTCCAAGCCTCAGTAGTTCCTTGATAAGTTAGACGTCTTTTAAAATTGGTTTCACAGCAAAAGAACATATGGATGTTAAGATATTTTCCTTGGACTGAACCTCTGTCGCTGGTATCTCTTAGGTGGCCGTTTGGGAGGTTTGGTAAAACTCTGATCGAGCCATAGATTCCATGACCACAACACAAGTATAGCGTGGAAAAGGTTCTATTTTTTATACTATTTTTCTTTTTTGATGAACTTGATTGATAAAAGAAGTTTTAGACCAAAAATAATATGTTTGTTGTTTTTTAAAGTTCTTATTGATTTTATCATAAATGTTTTACCCATAAACTGGGTCACCAACATTTTTTTGGCTTAACCCAACATATTTTATTTGCCAAATTGATTATGACGATGCCAAAATAAAATGGTCTTATACATCTAATCTATGTATAAATATTCAAAGATGTATAGGATTTTGTATACTGTTATTAGCTTATGCTTATCAAAGTCGAGCAAGTAACATGCGGTATAATTTTTTGAAGGAGTGTTCTCCTGTGGGCAAGGTTTTCAAACCCGGACTGACCAGCCGAGTCACGAGTCACGGTCCGACCGTGATTCAGTAGGTAAGACAAATCCGGTTTGGTCTAAAATTTGGGATTGCTCAATACTGGAGAACCCGGCTCAAATCCAAAAGAACTGGTGACCCGGTTGAGCATTAAAACCCAGTTTTACAAAATACACAAATTTGATGAAATTTTCCTTTTGTCATTTGTTTTAGTTAGGGTTTTATATTAAGAAACTAAGTTAGTAAACTTAATAATTTCAAGCTGTCGTTAGTTTTCTCTATTTTCTTCAAAGAAAGAAGCCCAAGTCATCTCTTGCATGACATCTCTTGCATGACGTGTAGTTAATGGAGGGGAACATTCAAGGAGCGGACTGATTTCTGGATAGTGGAAGAAAATAGAGAAATTGAACTAGATTATGATGAATTTGAGAATGCTCTTACTGAAGGAAACCCCAAAAAATGGCAAAGATGTAACTTCTTAAACCTTAAACTCGAACCGTAGAGACACCTTAAACTATATGTTTCTTTAGTCACGAAGTTCATTATTTCACTCATACATTTTCATATAGGGCTTATTTGTGTACTAGCTATATTTGAGAGGTAAATTAGGTGAATAGCAATGGTTTTGACATAATTTATTGTCAGACATTTATGCTACAAATTATCTGGTTCTGTCCTTTTGATTAGCAGGTTTCCCAGTTGCAAATGAAAAATTAGAAAGTAGATGACGCGGTTCCTTTTGTGTTGTATTATTATCACATCCACGTCACACGTTTTGTAACCACATACATGTGCATCAAATATTCTATAATATATTGTCAAAATAGTATAGAATTATAACTCAACTCACAATCTTAAATACTAAATATTATCTCAATTTCTATATAGTAAACCATAAATCGTATTCACTAAACAGATTTTAAATACTAAACACTCCTAATCCCAACAGCTAAACACTAAATCTCAAATTCCAATCACTAAGCATTAACCCAAGTATAAATTAATAATTACATTCACAAATCACAATCTCTAAAATACTAAATATTACCCCAATCCCAAAATATTAAATCTTAAACTCTAATTACTAAACCTCAATGTCAAATATAAACCATAAACCTAAAAACAAATTAAAAAAAGAACAAAATAAATTACATAATACATACTGGTTAAATTGTGAAATATCTATGATTACATGGAAAAAGTTAATGCTAACCCCAATCATATCCTCATCTAAATATTAAACCTTAAATTCTAATCACTAAGCTCTTAATTAAATATAAGTCCTAAACCGAAATATATAAATCTAAACTCAAATAGAATAGAACAAAATAAATAAAATAAATGATGTATTCCCTTTATTTTTCACAGGCAAACCAGAGTTTTCTATTTCATATCATCAAAATAATATAACACACCAATCCTATCCAACCCTAAATAATAAACCATATCCCAACTCCACCCTCAATCCACCAAACCATTAAATACTAAACCCTAAATTCTAAACACTAAACCCTAAACCCAAATATAAACCCTTAACCTAAATATAAACCCTAACCGTACATAATCACTAAACCCTAAACCCAAGCATAGACTCTAAACCGAAATAGAATGAAACAAAATACATAAAATAGTAAATATTGGTGAGCAAAATAGAACACTCTTTATTAATCATCAAATGGAACGATACATGATAGGATCATTAAACCCAAACCTCAACCTCCACCTTCCAAATATTAAATCCTAAATCTTAATCATTAAAATCTAAACCCAAGTATAAACCCTAAACCCAAATAAAATGGAACAAAATATATAGTATAATACATATTGGTGAACAAAATAATATATCTTTATTTGTTTTCTACATGGTTCACATAGAATGGACAAACTATTAAAGTTAGTGAAAGTATGTGATGGAGGATGACGTCACCAAGTATTGTCTCACACCTTAATCAATGGAATAAATGGCAAATACTTGATAACAAATTTGACATATGAAAGAATTCCAAAAAGCCTTATATCTATTTATATAAAGTAAAGTATTCTCTCTTTTTAAGAGGACATGTCACTAATTCATCGTAGGAAAAACAACACGTGTTATAACTAAAATTATCGTGTTGTTATTTTCTGGGCTTGGTGTTTAGAAAGCATTTTGGTTTTGAATGGGCCTAAAACGAAACAGTATGGTGGGTCACTTTAGTACGTGTTGTTATTTCCTTTTTTTTTGGGAACAATTTCGTTTGTTTTATTAGATGCTTAATTCGTTGACCAACAATTACCCCTCCACATCCTTTTTTTAGAACCCAGCTCTGGTATCTTCGCCATGCGATTTGTCTTACCAGCGAATGAAACCCAAAAACGTTACAGAAGACGGATGAACTGAAGAAAGCACTTCAAAGTGCTCATTAAGAATAACTCCTCACTCCTCACACGATTTTTGATTCACTACAACTCCCATAATTTCATTGTGTCAATCTTCAATTATAAATAGGTAACTCTCATTCTTTGAAACTAATCAGTTCAAACCTCTTGATTATTACCATTTCTACACTTCTAGTGATAAGAATGTAAAATAACTCACTCTTGGGGGCCTGAGAAAGGTAACGCTTGAACTCCGGCAGCATGGTGGTGGTGGCAACGCCGGAGATGGGAGCATCCAGAGGATGAGAAATGTCATTAGGATTGAGCCTAGGGTAAGGACTAAGGAGCATATGTAGAGGAGTGAGGAGTTTTGGTCTCTGATGCGGCGGAGGTAGAGATCCGGTTGCCATTATGATTATATTGCTTACTCATGATTAAAGAGTCGATTTTATGTTAATATGATTCTTGATTCTTCCTTTTCTTCTTTCTATGCAATCATATTATGCTTCACTCGAAGTTCTTTGAGGAATTAAGCGCTAATCTGTTTGGCCGGAGACGTCGTAGGAAAAGGCCACCAGAAGAGTCTTCTTGGTGTGGAAGTTCTCACCGGAGAGGGAGAAACACTTGAAGGAAGAGGACTTGATTAGCCATGTCTCGATTGCATCCCATACCCGTAAGTTGTCAAATTTGGTTTGGAATCAAATTTGTTAACCGGAATCCAGCCAAATGATACTTGAGTTAACTGGTTATGGAAAAGATGCAGAAAGCTTTAAAAAATTAGTATGAAATCATGTAGAACCATTGGAGAAACAGAGTTCTTCTTCTGTGTCTGTAGAATCTTGAAGAGATTGAGCTTAGTACATGCAGAGAAATATAAGCTTGATAAAAAAAAGTATTGTTGATGTGCTACTGAAAGTTTCATATCTATCTATTATAGATATTACACTTTTCTTCCCTCAGTGGAAAGCCACGTCACTAAATAGATCTCTCCTAGCATGACATGTGTCCTGAGGTGGGCTAAAGCGTTCTTATATGGTTACGGGCTTTGCGGTGCGCTTCATCATGCGATTTGATGTTAAGGCCCGACGGCCACCTAAATTGGTAAGAATCCGAGTTGGAAAGTGTTCTTTGCCTCTCTCATTGGCGGAGATGAGGATTTGGATTTCTTTAACATTATGCGTTGTGATTTTCTCCCATAAATCCTCTTAATTCGAAAACCCACTACGAGACCTTTTGATTGCGTCGTTCGTCGACTAAATCGTGTATAAATATCTCTCTTATGCTAACCACGACTTTCACATCTCTCTTCTACACATCTTACTTATATTCATATCTCTGTGCTCATCTCTGTTAATGGCTAACACGACTCCTTTTTTTTCCGATCTGAAGTCTTGGCGGTGCTCATCCGCTGTCGAGGCCAGACTGCTTAGGAATATTAAGCGTGGTGGAGAGCTTATGTGGATGGATTTGCTCATAGTGGATATTAACGTGAGTGGTTTTTTGTTCTCTTCTTTGTATCAAGCGTGCCGTTATTATTTCTCTGTGAGCTCTAGGCTGTTTATATGTTTGATATTATTGTTTCCGGGGAACCTGATCGTGTCTTACTTTTAAAAATTTCCTTAATGTTTTTTAGATGCTGATGTGCATTGTTTCTTGAATTTTTGTAAGCACATGCATAGATAGATAGGTCGTTGTGAATAGAGCTATCAATTTCGCATGCAATCAAGTTCACCCACTAATTCTTCTTCAATGGAGCTTTAATCCTGATGAACAGATTAATGATTTGTTGTATTACAAATGAAAAGATAATGATTTGTTGTACACTGATCCATCTCTTATTTGCTTAAGTACCTCTTACTCTTTAATTACAGATTAATAATTTGTTGTACGCTGATCCATCTCATGTCACTTGCCAACACAAACACTGGTTTTCTAGGTTTCAATTGTTTACCATACTATACAAAATATAAATTCCACTGCCAAGTAGCCTTAACGTCTCATGACAACCACAAGGCTTGATAGGTATATGACAACTCCGGTGTTTTTTTTTTAATTTCCCACATTACACACATTGGTGACTTGCAGTTGAAGGATGAAAAACATGGTGTTTGGCCTCTGGCCCTCCCGCAGGCCCTCAACTGTCTGCTTGAGTGTATTTGGTGGGCTTGCTGGGGAAAAAAAGGCGCTACTCTGATGTAGAGTACAACCAAAGTTTGTTGTTGGAACAAATATACCCAAAGTTTCTTGGAGGTAAGAACGAACTCTCTTTTAGGATTTGTACACTAGGGTCTTGGGGTTAAGTTGTGGTTGTGTTCAATACATAGTGAACAATTTTTTTTTTTTTAAAATGTCTACCCTAAGTTTGAGGAAGCTCCTGTTTCACGCTAAGTTGCTATATATCAGACACATAACCTCTTTGATTGCAGGCAAGCTGTTCATCAACGCTTCTTCTGGTACTCATTCAGATCCATAGAACATTATCAGAGATAAAGAAAGAGAGCCACCATTGGTTTGCCGAGTATCATGAGAGGAAAAAAAGAGGCTCAAGAGATACGATAGATTCTTTTGCGTCTTGCAGGGAGATTGGCAAGGTGGTTGAATAATACATGACTGTTCTTAATTTTGGTTTACTAATTTCAGGAACTTATGATTCTGATTCCTGGAACTAGATGGTTTCTTTTGTTTTCTTTCAAACCGATATTGTAATTTATTCTAGAGAACTACAGTGTTTCTTGCTCATTAGAATATATACTAACCAGGCCTGATATGAACAAGCCGACGAGAAAGAAAGTGGTTCGAATCAGTCTTCACCAAAACTTGGGATTAAAATTAAAGTAACAAGACACTAAATATAACACTCAAATGATTTCTTTGGACACAAGTAACTGATATGTGCTGGGAAGTTTTTGTGGCATTTAATCCTTCAATGTAAAAACAAAAAAAAGATGCACATTTATGGGTTGGGTGATCGATCTTCACTCATTCTCAAGTCGCAAATATGAAAATGTATTTAATTTAATATATGCAGTTGCACATAATTTCATAACTGTCATAGCGGTACAAAAAAAGAAATTTCTAAAGTAAATTACTAACATTAATCACTTTGTCATAATTATTTATGAATATACAGTATTTGTGGTTTAAATGTTGTTTGGGATTCACTCTCTAACCCAACTAGGAAGAGAGTTAGAAGTGTATAAACAAACTCTTTAACCTTAGAACTAAATGATTCTAAAACCGAAACGAATCCTAGATCAACTGTAAACTTAACAATTATTTTGCATAAGAACTTAAATAGCAAACACAGAAGAGTATTTAGATCATAATTAAGATTTAATATGACTTTTGATCATCTTGCTCATAATTCTATCAGGATTTTCATTTATAAAAACAATAAATCGTAAGAAATTATTATAGTAAATAATTATTTTTTAAAAGAAATTATTATATTTAGATAAATACATAATTTTGAAAATAAATAGGAAAATAAATAGTTAAGATTATTGTAAAAGATTATGAAAGTTTATGTTACTTTTAGTGCTTACAAAAAGATTTAATACAACTTTTACTTAAAAGTGAATTTAAAATAAATTATTACTATTATTTGTCCGCCCGCCCATAGGACGGGTTTACCCTAGTTAAAATATAATTACTAGAAGGAAACAAGTGGTGTCAAAATAGAATCCGTAGCAGTTTTTGTTCCATGCTACATGATATTAGGAGTTTTCAAGGTTCATAAGGCAAATGTTTTAGTATAGATGATTGTCGAACCAGTTCTGAGGGATTTAAAAGCACCGAGAATACAAGTACTAGCTTAATCTAAGTGCGATTATGTGATTGATTGGTTTTTAAGGTTAACTATAACTAGAATGCAATAAAAGATATAACTTTGACAATGAAGATAAAGGAGAACTCATGGATATAGGGAATTTGACCTTGGGTGATCAAGTTTCGATCTAAGGATGGCAAGCGATCAATTAAACTACCTACCTTAAGCCTAGATACGATTCTAAACAAGCTCTATGTCTAGATGAATGTTCATTTACTAACTCAAGCATCAAATGTCTTTGGTTGAATATTATGAAAGTAATCATTAGGAATAAATCTATTAACCATCTTAACACCTTTAACAACAAGTGTCCTTGGTAAAGACTGTTAAAAGCTTAAGAGAATTGACTCAGACATTTCATCAAACACTTTGTGAGTGGGAAATGTCTAGAGATCAACCTTTGAGTGATCAATTCAAAAGAGGCATTATGGTTACTCTAATAAGCAAGGAACAAAAGAAATCTAACACTAAAACATCTCAAATATAACCTAATCACCCTTAATCTCCCTAACCCATGAATTCAAAAGGTGATTACTCACTAATCTCCATGATTCCTCTTAAACCCATATTGGATTTCAGATTAATCATGTAAAGAAATAGATAAGAAATCAACAAGAACACAATATGAAAGCAATGAAATTTTGAATCCAAAGAAGTTTTTCTTCAAGAACCAAAGATAATATGCCAATGGTGGCTTACAGAGTAGTTTTAATTAGGTTTCTGAAACTCAAAACATAAAAAACGAATATTGCAAAATGGTCCTCGAAACAACATTTTCGTCACAGAAAAGACGCACAGCGGGGTCACAACCCCGCTGCCAAGACCCCGCTGCGAAGCCTCTTTCTTTTCACTCGAACGCGAGTGACCCCCTGACTCTGCCCCGGGGGTCCGCTGTGGCCGTGGAGCGACCCCCCGACTCCGCTGCGGCGCTGTGGGCGTGGAGCGACCCCCTGACTCCGCCCCGTGGGTCCGCTGTGGGCGTGGAGCGACCCCCTGACTCCGCTGTGGATGCTCTGGCTCGCCAAATAACATCTTTGCACTCTCTTTTGGCACATAATTGATCCCAAACACCTCCAAGAACTCCATAGCATGTTCCACCACCTGATAAAGACAAATGAATGCAAAATGCAACCTAAGAATGCCTAAATCTAATCTATATGCTCAACATGAACAAGAATGCAAGGTTAAAACCAAGTAAATATGCAACATATCAACTCCCCCATACTTGTCCTTTACTTGTCCTCAAGTGAACTTTCAAGGACTTATGGAAAGAGAGGTTTGAAGGTGGGAACTCATAACCAAGAGAAACACATCTAAGAACTCAACTTAACATCCTAAAGAGACATTCCAAGTAGCATGAACACACTCTCTTATAGCACTCTAGCTTCTCTAGGCCTATCAACACATTCTTATGTCTTTAAACAAGATGTAATACTCTTCAATTTACAAGTCTTTAAACCAGCCATCACATTAGTTCACACACACACAAAGTGAAGTCTCACAAATAGGCACATGATCTCAATCATTTGGCTAGGCAAGCAATATGTCTAATGAGAATAAAAAGGAGGGTTCAGATGCATCATTTTTAGTGACTATCACTCAAGAACAAGGAGCTTGATCATTATGCAAAATTTATCTAAGACTAGAAGCAACTGATGCAAACATAGTCTTGTTCTCATCATTCTACCCTTCTCCTAAGTGATCACAATTTCGAACCCTTTCTTTCTTCATCTCATACCCCAAATAACTTTTGCTCACATCACTCACCCAATGAACAAATTCTTCTCTTCTTTTTTTTTTATTTTTTTTATTTTTGCACAACCAACTAGGGACTCATCACAAGCTTTCTACTTTGTAACTCTAACTCTTCTTCTTTACACATCTCCTCCCCCAAACTTATTTCTTTGTTTCTTCTTTTTTTTTTATGGGAAGGGTTCCTTAATACACAATCTAGAGCTTCTCTTTCTTTCTTTTAGTCCCCAATGGCTTTTTTCTTTTCTCAAGACAGACTTTATTTAAACTTTCTCATGATCTCTCATTCAAAACCCAAGATATTAACTTTAGAACACATAAACCCACCCACCATCCTAGATGCTAGCTCAAAAGAGGTTCCTATGCTAGCAAGAGATGAGAACAATCCTATGTCGCCTCCAATACTCTCACGATTTTGCACATGACAAACTATCAAAAGAATGCCCCACTCATGCGAATCAAATGTTTGGTCTCAAAAGAATGGCTTGGGTTCAAGTTAAGGGTGTGGAGTACCATTTGGGTTAACAAAAGTGTAGTAAAATGGAATAAGATAACCCAAATGTGTATGAGATCCATGATCAAGTATGCAAGTGCCCATATGCAAGAGAAATTAAGTTCATTAAGCCAAATTTCAGATTGGAGCTGGTTTTAAGAACAATGTCAATTTAAAGCAAGCAAACATGTTTCAAGAAGAGTTTTCAAGGCTCGAAGCGTGCAAGGTTTTCAAGAAATGCTCAAGCTACTTGATGTGTCTAACTAGGGTGTCACTTTGAGCTCTTGACAAGTGTTCTTCACAGGGTATTTCAAAATAATAGCTCCCAATGCATATGAATGCAAGCTATATGCTCCAGACTCTCCTAGAAATGCAAGTGATGCAACCTACATGAATTTTTTGGTTTTCAAAACTTTTAAATTTTTTTGGTTTTTCTATGCATATATGTATGTAAAATGCAATGCATGAGACTCAAAATCATCAAAGAAAACATGATTAAACACTTGGTACCTCCCCCAAACTTAAGTCACACAGTCTCTGTGTTGTTAAGTAGAGAGAGATACCCAAAAGGAAGACTAATATGCAAAGAAAAACTGGTATATACAATGGAAGGTGATAGNTT